AGGAGTCACATGTCTCTTGAATCCAATTGTTAACATGATTACTTTTCTAGTTTCTCAAAATTATTGCCCTGGTGGTGTTAATGGTGGACTCTTATACCCGGAAGTTTATCTTTCAAATCTCATCCTAGCCAGGAACTCACTTAAGTGGGCTTTGGCAAATCAATTCAGTTATTCCCTTTGAGACGTTCCAGAAAGCTACTGAAGGAAGGAATCAGGGATCCTTGTAAATCTTGTTCTTTCCACCTCCAGTCTTGTCCTGCTGATGGAACAGATCTGATTACCTTCAGCTCAGTGCAAAACAGTATGACTCACATGAGCTTCCTTCGCTTGCGCAGAGCTTCTGCTCCTGTAAATCATCCTTAACAGGGTTCAAGAAATGCGACTGCACTTTCCTACAAGGCTCCCCTAACTGCATTGGGAGATCTGAAAGGAAGGAGCAAGGCTGGAACACCTTGTCGCCCTTCCCCCATCCTTTAAAGAGAACTTTCAGCTGTTTCTTTCAACCTACAAAAAGAAAAAGAGAAACTCCTCATGTTGAAAGAGAGAACTAAAAGTCCCCTTGATAGGAATGACAGCATTAACCTGCTTTGCAGGTTTATTGTCAAAATTGCCGAGAATAGCGTGCAAGTAGTCCTTGGCTTACAATCATTCATTTGGCGACCCTTCAAAGTCACAACGGCACGGAAAAAAAATGAGTCACCACCAAGTCTTGCACTTATGACCATCAGAGTATCCCTGCAAAGACCAAACTCTGGGTGCATTTATGACAATTGCATTATCCCGGAGTCAGGTGATCACCCTTTGTGATCTTCCCAACTGGCTTCCGATAGGCAATGACCGTGTGATACACACGGCCAAAAAGGTCATAAAATTGGGTGTGGCTCACCTCATCGCTGCCTTGCTTAGCACCAGAAATTCTAGTCCCCATTGTGGTCATAAACTGAGGACTACCTGTACATTGATGAGCATCGATGACAACAATGATTCCCCTCCTCCCCAATTAATGGGATTTATTTGCAAGTCAGCATTTTGAGGATTGAGATGCCAGAAAATGAAATGGAGATGGGGAAGGTAAGTGACTTGTTAAAGGTCATGCTATGAGTCAGAACTCAGAATAGAACTGGGGTCATCTGAGTTTATGGCCAACCTCTTATCTGCCGAGCTTGGTTAATTGTTTAGCTTTTTTTTAAAAAAAAATGGTTTTCCTTTTAACTGGAAAGGCAGCCCCAAGGTTTTTACACTTTTTTTTTGTTTATGAGTTTAAAAACACAGAAATGTTAAATGACTTTACATTGCTTAGAAACGTGAGTCCTTCTAACTCAGGGTTGGCAAAGAACTGGCGGGATTTTCAATCTGGGGGTTCTCTGGAGATTCTGGAAAGAACGTGTGTCCTACAGAGACTCCCTGGTTGTCCACTAAATCGGCTGCCTTTCAGGCCAGTGAAGAGAAAACTTCTGAACAAATGCAATCTGATCAGAAGTAGTTGTGCTGCCTAAAATGTGACCTTCTCCTAAAGGAGGAAATAATAAAGAGTAAAAATTAAAAAAAATAAGAAAGTGTGCAGAAAAGAACAACAACGATAAGGGGTGTGGAGGCTAAATTGTACAGTGAACAGTTAAGGGAACTAGATCTGTTTAGCCAACCATAGAGAAGGATTGAGGTGTGTGGGGGGGACATGATAGCTGTCTTCCAGTATTTGAGGGGCTGTCATAAGGAGGAGGGTTTTGATTTATTCTCCAAAGCATCTTAGGGCAGGATAAGAAGTAATGGTATAGATTCTCCTGCTTGAGCAGAGGGCTGGACTAGAAGACCTCCAAGGTCCCTTCCAGTTCTACTCTACTCTACTCTACTCTACTCTACTCTACTCTACTCTACTCTACTCTACTCTACTCTACTCTACTCTACTCTACTCTACTCTACTCTACTCTATTGTTAAAGAGTGATCCAACTTAGAAGTAAGGAGAACTTTCCTGACAGTCAGAACAATTAATCAATGGACTAGCTTGTCTCCCAGAGTTGTGGGTGCTCCATCACTGGAGGTTTTTGAAAATAAGCCAAACAACCATTTGACTGGGACAGTTATAAGGTTTCCTGCTGTGGCAGGGGACTGGACTAGAAGACCTCAAAGGTCCTTTTCAGCTTTATGATGATGTTCTAAAGAGGAATGTAGCTGAAGAAGAGTCTTCTCATTCATGGCTACCAATGCCTTGCTCCAGGGCAATGATAGGACAAGGACTATGTACTGCTCTGTCACTGACTTCATCACTCACCACACCACTGCCAGCACACCATCTTTTCCTCGTTGCCATAGTACTGCAAACCTCTGCAGAAGTTTCTTCTCCACCCTCCATGGCCCTCCTGCAGTTTCAGTTACACTCCCCACCCTAAAGGATGGGACACAACACATTCCTTCTTACTACTAGCTGAACTATTCAGATTTACAACCAAAGCAGAAGAAGGCACTTGTGGAAACCATAATCTTCAAAGCCTTTTGAGAAAATATCTCCAAGGTGGTGCCCGAAATAGACTGAGATAAAACTACGACGTTGGGGGAGACTGGGCCAAGGAGAGAAGAGAGAGTTCAGATTTCAGTTACAACATGGCAACTGGCAGCCAGTTGATTTGAGCACACCTTACACCCCAAGATATGGCAACTTCAGCAAAACTGTTCTTCTCCATGGGAGCCCTCCCCCCCAAAAAAGCAGAAGCACTTCCTTTTTCATGAAATTGAAAGACAAAGGTTAGGAAAAACCAGATTTATTTTTTGGATCCAGCATAACTTTTTACCTATGTCGGCTATTAGAGAAGCTTGTTATTTTTCATTTCCCCAATGAGTTGATGTTGATGTTTCCACTCACTGCCCTTTTCTTAAACCATGTTTGACTCTCCCAAACTGCAGTCACCCAGGGCATTCTTGTCTTTGAATCCCACCCAAATAGGAACCATTATCCCAACAACTTTAATATGCCGAGAAGAAAGACCTTGCTAAAGAATGCTTCCCTGTAATGATTTCAATCTTCCAGACTTTGTGTGCTTGTGGTTGTGTGTTTGAGTATAGTTTTTGAGTGTTATTGGTTTATTACTTTTTAATGGCTTTTGCGGTTTGCTTGAAAATTGTGGAAGAAATCATGACTGCAAAAAGGGTTTAAGTAAGCTATGCTGTTTCTTTGCGATGTTTTTGGCAGAAAATGACCCTGCTGCCATGTTTTCTCCTTCAATATAATTAAAAATTAGCAATGTTTTACTTATTTGCAAGCATTTGTGCTTAAGTAAAGTGGAAAGTGTACCAGCCTACATATGCACAAACACACACTTGTGAATGTATTTGGCTTGCGTTTTTAAACACATTGACTTGGTTGACACTCGTGGCTCTAAGTACTTGGGCCAAAACCCTTCTGTCATGGGTTTTTAATTCTCCTTTTATTCAGAAAACATACCGACATTCATTAAAGGTAGATATTCCAGAATAAAGAACGCTCCAGATAACCAAAGTATTTCAAGTATCAAATGCATAAAAATGTGAGACGTGCAAACAAAAACAATGGCCATTTATAACATGCTTTAGAAATGCTGAATTTTTCAGCAAACATATGCCAAACAAGTCCAGACAAAGAAGAGCAACAAAGATGATTAGGGGACTGGAGGCTAAAACCTACAGTATAAGGAACAGTTGCTGGAATTGGGTATGTCTAGTTTAACGAAGAGAAGGACGAGGGGGGACATGATAGCAGTGTTCCAATATCTCAGGGGCTGCCACAAAGAAGAGGGAGTCAAGCTATTCTCCAAAGCCCCTGAAGGCAGGACAAGAAGCAATGGATGGAAACTGATCAAGGAGAGAAGCAACTTAGAACTAAGGAGAAACTTCCTTACAGTTAGAACAATTAACCAGTGGAACAACCTGCCTCCAGAAGAGACTGGACAGCCATTTGTCTGAAATGGTGTAGGGTTCCTGCCTGAGCAGGGGGTTGGACCCGATGACCTCCAAGGTCCCTTCCAACTTTATTATTATTAAGAATAAATTGATCTGTCCAAATGGAGGCAATGTCCTCTTAAACCTCTACAGAGAATTGCAGCTTCTTCTCTAGCACCATAAGGGTAAATTATATTTATTTCATAATAGCCTCCAAGTGTGTTGATTTGTGAAGCTGGCTATGCTTGCCAATAAATGGTAAATTTATTTTAAAAAGGAAGGGGGAAAAAACGAGGTTTATGATCATTCCACTGAAACTTCTTTACCTTCAGTGCTATAGATGAATTTCCTGAAGTCATAAATTCTTCTTTCCCCGCTTGTAAGAAGGTGACTGCCAGCCATGCCTTAATGCTCTGTTCCTTGGCTCTTCCAGTGCTAATTCCCAAGGAGTTGAAGGATGAAAATCAGAGCAAGGGGCATAATTGGAGGCTAGAACAGCTGCCTAGGCTGTAACTAGATCACACGCAATCTGCATATCTTCCTGTTGCAGGTTTATGATTTTATACATTTAATTGAAAACAAATGGTGATCCATTCAGGACTGAGGGCATTGGAGAAAATCACTTTTCTTGTCCTAATAAAACCCTCTCTTTTCCGACACCACCCCTAATCAATTGGTGCCTGTACGTAATTACTTAAAGCTTGCTGCTGTGTCTGGAACATAGTTTTTAAAATGAAAGAAGGGAAAGGAAGATGCTGAAAAGAAGTATTGCCTCTACCCTGTCTTTGGTGGTCCCAATCTATGTACTTATCGTACCTACTATGTACTATGTCAGGGGTCCCCAACCCCGGCCCTTGGACCAGTACCGGGCCGCGGCATGCCAGCAATCGGTCGGCACAAACAAGCAAAGCCCCATCCATGGGATGCAGGCAACACACAAAACCACACATGGAAAAACCTCTCTCCACAGAACCGGTCCCTGCTGCCCAAAAGGTTGGGGACCACTGTACTATGTATTAATCAAATCTTCCTCAAAGTAGAGCTGGGAATTCCCTCAGTAATGCCTTTCCTTCTGATGCTTATTTCCCAGGTCCCTCTTCTCTTCGGGCTTATCCGCTCATCTCTGTCATCACCAGACAGCCTTCAGCCGTCTCTCACTTCATTCCTGCAGTGACCACCTCTAGGGTTCTCTCACCACTCCCACCTTCGGCAGGTACCTGTTCAGAGAGCCAAGCCAACGAAACTCATGGAAGCAGTGAATCCGAGACAGAGCAGCCCACCCTCCCCTTGAAAAAGCCTCGCCGCAGCCGGACCATCTTCACGGAGTTGCAGCTGATGGGACTAGAGAAGAAATTCCAAAAGCAGAAGTACCTGTCCACCCCAGACAGGTTGGTTGAGGAGAGATTGGGTTGGGTGAGTGAATGAGTGAGTGAGTGAGTGAGAGGGCAACCCAACTGGTTCGTGATAAAAAGAAGCCACTGAGGCCTTGATGGGCAACCTGGCGCTTTTAAAATGTCTTGGATTTCTACTCCTGTCAACCTCAGCCAGCATGGGCAGAGCAAGGGAGCACAGGACTTAGACTCTAAAGCAAGGGTCTTCAAACGTGGCCCTTGTATGACTTGTGGACTTCAACTCCCAGAATTCCTCAGCAAGGCATGCTGGCTGAGGAATTCTGGGAGTTGAAGTCCACAAGTCATACAAGGGCCAAGTTTGAAGCCCCCTGATCTAAAGCATATTGAGGTCATTTAGGTTTTGATTTTTGCACTAGCAGGATTCTAAGAGCAAGTTGCTATTGAGAAGGATATGCCTGTGTCAAGTTCCATGTTAAGAATTCACCCACCAATCACTTCTGCAGTCTCAGCATGGTAAAATTGTCTTCTGAATACTCCAGCTTTGGAGAATCTTTGAAAGTGGGTTGAACTCAAGATTGAGTCGTACCTTGAGGACTAGCATGTATGGTGGCATTGGACGCCAATATTACAAGTTTCTCTTTGTGAAGTGAGACTTAGTGGCCTTTAAGAAGACAGCAGAAATTCTGCATGAGCCAGAGTGTTATAATATAGAGCGTTTTGACTACTACTCTATGTTAGATCATTCAAAATAATGGACGGGTGAAGGCTAAATTGTGATTATAGTAATGAAAGATCCTTCTACAAAGTCTAAGACAATTGGAGGAAAAGGAAGTCTTCCATCCTTCTGAGGTCAGTAAAATAAGGACCCAGATTGTTGGGGGCAACAAGCCAACTAAGTAAACCACTTAGAGAGGGCCGCAAAGCACTGTGAAGCGGTATAGAAGTCTAAGTGCTACTGCTATTTACCCTATTTCTCTCTAGTGGTAGGAATCCCTATTGTCAGTACTTGACTGAAGATTTTGAGACAGTTACTCCTCAAAGTCCCATATACTGGAGCCTGGAAGAGCCAGGGTTTGCAAATTGAGAATTATCTTTAACTTTCTTGGATACTCATGTAATCCACAAATCATGGGGCTGTTCAAAACAGTGGCTGTTTAAACATTCTTACGAACAGATTAAGATCCTATCCTTATTCCAATTGCATACATAACTCTGTTCTCAAAGGGAGGAGATTGGATAGGGACCTGACCCTGCACCATTAATTTTCTGTTATCTTTGATGAGAGTCCCAAATGGTTAATGGGTAGGGCCAGCTAAGGGACATGTGGGTAACAACTAACATGGAAGGAGAATGTTTTTTTTATCTCAGTTACATTTTTAACAGTAAAAGGGGGGAATAGCTTCTACATTTACCATTTGAAAAAAAGACATTCAGAAGTTTTAGATTTAGACTAATTCAAGCAGAGCAATGTATCCCTGCAGGAATAGTGATTTGCATTTGAAGGCTAGAGAGAGAGAGAACTTTATTCCAGTCACTGACCAATAAAATGAATCCATAAAATGACCAATAAATAAAACCAATAAAAATGACCAATAAAAACGAACCACACAAAATTATCCCCTAGCCCAGTGTTTCTCAACCTTGACAATTTTAAGGCATGTGGACTTCAACTCCCAGAATTCCACAGCCAGCAATGCTGGCTGTGGAATTCTGGGAGTTGAAGTCCACGTGCCTTAAAATTGTCAAGGTTGAGAAACACTGCACCTAACAACAATTGTTAGCAGCCTTGAAAGACAGAGCGAGCTGCTTTATATGTTATGGAGGGGAGAAAAGACTAACCAGGCAGATGCTTTAAAATTCAAAATACCTAGTTTTAATCTTCTGAGACCAGGCACCATTTTAGCCTCATCATATCACCACTTCAGAAAGGAAATCCCCTGCAGGGTTTAGTCTGTTTCTCAAGCAAGCATTGAAGATGAGGCCGTCTTTCCAGCCATAACAGAGTGGGGTCCCTAAGCCCTGCTCCTCTCAGCTGTTCAGGTGCTGAGTGGACCATGATAGCTCCTAAGCATGTGAAGATGAGCCTGCTCTTGTCTGAAGGCTCGGACACATAATCGGATCAGATTTCAAAGCACCCTTCCCTTAGAATCAAAGGCTACATGAATAGATCATATCAGTGGAAAACACATACCAGGCTGTGAGTGTGCTGGATATGTGCATACTTGCCAGCATAGATTTATGGGCAGTGATACTTAGAAGCTTGTTTCCTATGAAAGGGAGAAGCAAATTATTTCCACTAGCTGAGAGCAAATATGCAATCAGCGGAGAGCAAATAGGAGCCGGTGTGGAGAAGGAAACCAGCTCTTGGTTTTCACTGTTGTTTGATCATCATCATGTAACAAGAATCCCAGAATTAATGACAGAACAAATTGACTTTAAAAAAAAAAGTTGAATTAAAAGTGTGGGAGTTTCATTCTAGATTGGGTTCTGGATCCTGAAATTCAGAACATGAAGGGTTTAGTCCTTGTTACCCTAACCCTAACTCTAACCCTAACCCTAACCCTTGTTGGTGGAAGGGAAGCCGACTGAATGGAGCATAATTTTAATTAGTTTTAAAGAAGAATCAACTGTATCAAAGAAGGAAGTCACATTCATCTAGCTTGTACAGATAATAGCAATGCCATAGTTTGACCTTATATCCATTGGGGAACTCCCAGCCAGCAAGGAAGAGGGATCAAGAGGCCTGGTGGCTCAGTGGTTAAACAGCAGTATTGCAGGCTCACTCTGTCCACAGCCAGGAGTTCGATCCTGATAGGGCTTCAAGGTTGACTCAGCCTTCCATCCTTCCAAGTTCGGTAAAATGAGGACCCAGATTGTTGGGGGCAAGAGGCTGTCATTGTAAACTACCCAGAGAGTGCTGTGAAAGTACTATGGGGTGGTATATAAGTCTAAGTGCTTCTGCTATTGCTATCAAGTGGGAACTAGCCTTGAATCCTTGCTCAGCCACAAGAGACATAAGCCTGATCTTCCCCTGAAGTTCCAAGAAGCTTATCTCTTTGTTCCCAAAAGCAGTCTGGGGAGATTCTTGTACTATAGGTAGACTACAATAAAATAGTCAATTTGAACCTGTCCTGGGTGGATGTGGTTGCTTGAACCTGACAATATCCTAACTATCTCCAAATCTTTGCCTGGCCTTAAACATTATAGGTGAAGAAGCGTGCTCTTTTTAGATCTTGCTGAACTGTAATTCCCAAGTTCCCTGTAATTCTCAATGGCCTATACTGTAATTCCCAAGAGCCTATCAGCCATAGGCCTCTTGATCACATTTTCAGGCTACTGCTGCTCTTTGAATTGGCTGGTGTTAATATTGCTCAGCTTTGTACATGACTAAGCCCGATGTGCAAGGGCAATTTTAGCGGCTTTATGCCTCACTCTTTGTGTTTGTTGCTCCCGTTTCCTAGGCAGCCATCAGTAGTTTTCCACAGGCCAGCAGCCCAAAAGGGTTACAGGCAATCTAGCCATGATAGGCATGTATTATCTGGCCCAAGAAGATTGATCTGATACATATCCCTTTGGCAATGGAATGGGGAGACTCGCCCCTAATACGTGAAAACTTGGAAATCTATTTGTTTATGTACTTTCTCAGAAGGTCTCTCCTTTCCACCATAAAAGGGATAGTACATTGTGGTATCCAATTTCTCAGAATATTTTCTGGGCAATAAAATGATGATGGGTTGGAGATTCTGAAGATAATGTCTTGATCAATCTCGCTGCCCTAAGATACAACAAGCCTATAGGTTGCTAGCATAGGGGATTTTAAACAAGGATTGCATGGACATTCATGGATAAGGAGAAAATTGTGGTGAGCCCCGGGAGACCCATAAAATCATACCACCCAATCCCAGGACTGGGATTTTTCTGCTTTGTGGAGAAGTTAAAAATAAGGGCAGTAAGCCTTTGATAGATGACACCACTGTTTCTTCTCTATGTCCCCTGCAGCCTTGGATAGCTGAAAAACAATATAAATATGGTTTGAAGGGGCACTTTCAGTTGTGGATGATAGATACAATCTCTCACCATTGGTTGTAATGATAGGTTGATAAAACCCCAAAGAGTTGGAAGGTTTTTAGATTCCTTGCTCAGACTGGTTGGGACCCTGTTCTAGTTCAATGTAAGTGACTTCCCATCACATTGCACTTGTGTCAGAAGCACCAAGGTGCTTTTGGATTGATAGGATTAGCCAGTGACATCACCATTTATCCTTTTAGCCATTATCATCATTATCCAATTACCATTATTGGGGGTTCCTTTCATGTCCTTGGCAGGAGCTGGAGTGAAGGACGAGCGCTCACCCTGTCCCATGGCAGCACTCGGGTCTTGAACATGGACTTGCTAATCTCACAATCCATATAAGCTCCACCATGCTCCTAGCAACTTCCCATGATCTGATCCCTTACAAGATTTTTCAGTTGGGTTCATCCAATTTGTTATATTAGACCAAATGTGTTTGGTGTCTCTGTTCATCAAGGTATGGGAGCCCTTCATTGTCTTAGCATGTTGTAGGAACCAGGTCATCACATTAAGCTATAATACAGTGATGGCGAACCTTTTAGAGAAAGAGTGCCCAAACTGCAGCCCAAAACCCACTTATGTATCGTCGGGTGCCAGGTGGGTGTGGCCCATTGGGTAGGTGTGGCCAATTGGGTGGGCGTGGGCCATTAGGTGGGTGTGACTGAGGTGGTAACGGCAGACTGAGTGGGACTAAAAAGTTCAATCAATCAATTCCAACTTTGCGAGATTTTTTTTTCCCCGCGAGAAGTTGAAATTGATTGATTGATTGAACCTTTTTTTTTTTGCACACGGCGGTGGATGCCCAAAGCGAAAAGGTTTTATAAAACCCAGCTGAAGGCCTAGGACTGGGGAAATGGTGCGCGTGCCCACAGAGAGGGCTCCGCGTGCCACAGGTTCGCCACCACGGCTATAATATGATGCCTTTGTTTGGACATAGCCTATTAAGTGGCGAGCACTACACTGTGTTTTGTTAACCCAGTATGCCAAATTGTATGAACTCAGCCTATATACGCAATCACTTGTTTCCAAACAAAGTACAAACGCTTCCACCACTGTTCCACAACTGCAACCTAGGGACAGAGTGTATTGTTTATGCTGGAAAAGGCAACTTAAGAAAAAAAAATTGGTTGGGAAATTTTGGACTAATTCAAAACCATTCATTATGCAACTGCTAGTGCGTGAAACAAGACAAGGTGCATCATGTTTGTTTATGTTGCCTCCACACTGTTTGTGTTCCGGTTCACTAATATTAATCATGGAAAAAGCATAACTCATGAGCAGTACCAGCAAGTTTCATTCAAGTGAATGAGCTTCACTCTGACATTCCAGCTCTGAAGGAATGATTAGGTAAATACAGTTCTGATGTTAGGGGAATACCTTCTGCTATTTGTCATGTTAGGGAAGACCGTGCTGGGCTTAAAAGCAGTGAAAAGAAGGGAAAGGCAGAAAGTAGAACAAGGTATTCTTGTAGATCTTTATAATCATCAATGGCTATTAGAGAGTATGGTAGATAAGTTGTGGATATTATAATGGCTTAGTAACCCTGTGTTCCGTTCTGGGAAGTGAGGGAGGGAAAGGGGGGGAAAGGGAGGGGGAGGGGGATAATGGGATGGGGGGGAGAGTTGGGATGGTATTATAAGTATGCATTAATAGTTATATAACTAAAATGTGTAATGTTAGAATTGAAATGTATGTATGTTAATGCATTCTATGTTTGAAAGATGTATAATAAATGAATATATAAAACAAAAATATAAAAAAGAAAAAAGAAAAAAAATCATCAATGGCTCAGCTGAGTTGTTCAACTCCAAAAGTTTTACTTTGGGAAAGCAAAATAAAAATCTTCTGCCATAACTATTCTTGCTTTAACATTTCTCAGCCACACTAGTTTCTTATTTCTAAAAAGAAAGAATTAATTGGTTGCCCTTGGCCAGATCTCTGAGAGACAGTAGATCAAACATTTTAATCCCCAGTTTCTCACAACTGGGATGAAGATATTTCCTGTTTAGGCAGCTCATCTGACTTGTGAACGTGCAATAGAGAACTTGACTTTGTCCACCAATTTTACACTTGATTTGGTCGATACTGTCCAGCTTTCTTTTTTTTTCTTTAGTGGATCATGTAATACTCCAGTTTGCCCAGCAGGGAAAAATATTTTTTCCTATTTTTGTCTTAAAGGTTTTTATAATGGAGATAAACATGTTTAAAGTGGCAAGCTCACCTACTAGATTTATGGCTTCTTAGAGCCCCCTCCCCCCAGTAGAACAGCTGGGGCCAAAATATTATCTTGAGAGGAATTAAAGGGAAAAATAGATGCCGTATTTTTTTCAGTTGCTTCAAATACCATTTGAAACTCCTGATACCCTCTTCAGGATGGAGTCTGGCTTCATCCAGTTCTGCAGCGTGACTCTCAGCATGCCACATAACATCTAGTGCAGCTAGAAGAAATAGGGGATACATGATAGCAGTGTTCCAGTATCTGAGGGGCTGCCACAAGGCAGAGGGGGGCAGGTTGTTCACCAAAGCACCAAATGGAAGGACGAGAAACAATGGTTGGAAACTGACCAAAGAGAGAAACAACATGGAATTGAGGAGAAACTTCCTGACAGTGAGGACAATCAACCAGTGGAACAGCTTGCCTCCAGAAATTGTGGGTGCTCCATCACTGGAGATTTTTAAGAGGAGACTGGACATTCACCTGTCCAAGACAGTATAGGTTCTCCTGCTTGAGCAGGGGGCTGGACTAGAAGATCTCCAAGGTCCCTTCCTGCTCTATTCTATTCTATTCTAAATTCTGAATCAGGAGAAGCTACATATTCCTTTTTTACAGGCTCAGTCTTAACATCACATTTTTTTTTAATTCTGAACAGGCACGCCCCAACTGACCTTGCATAACCTGAAAGCAGAACTTGTAGAAATAGTACACAGCATCCCTGCTGAGAAGTAAATCCAATGCCTAGAACTGTTTAGTTAATACAGTCCTAAGCAAATTAAAATGTTTACTTTTAAAAAGCAAGTTTACAGCGCAGGCCTTTGTTTGCTTTCTTAGACTAACTTCCTATTGAGTTTGGTGTGACTTGCTTAGAAACCCTACAACGACTGATATTGTGGTCATTGCTCTTGTTTGATCATTAGTCATTGGTCTTCTCTAATCACTATCATGTCCAATTAAGCTGCTGGTCTCTTGATCCACACAATAGTGTGGATGAACCATTTGCTCACTTTCAATAAGATGCAGTGTAATCAAGTCTTGTAATGAATGATGATGTCACATTCTTCTTCTTGTTCATTAATCTGGATAGTTTCTCTTCTAGGCTGGATCTTGCTCAGTCACTCGGCCTCACTCAACTCCAAGTGAAAACCTGGTATCAAAATCGCAGGATGAAATGGAAAAAAATGGTAAGCATTTACAGCAGAGGCCCCCAACCTTTTGAGCACCAAAAGGTTTTTCCACGGACCAAAGAGTGTGTGGTTTTGTGTGCTGCCTGCATCCCACAGATGGGGCTTTGCTTGTTTGTGCGGACCAGTTGCTGGCATACTGCGGCCCGGCACTGGTCCATGGACCAGGGGTTGGGGACCCCTGATTTACGGAATTCAGTGAGAGTCCTAGTGGTTAGACTGAGTGTCAGTTGAGTGACTTCAACAGGAATGAAGTTGACTCTGAGAAATATATCAGTTGATTTCAGGGTGTCTCTAGCAACCATAATTAAGTCTATCCACTCCCCCCCCCCAAAAAAATAAGTGACGTCAGGGTTCTTTACAAGGTATGGTCAAAAAGTCAAGATGGTGACCACAATATCAAAGTGGTACATCAAAGCCCTGTTAGTAAAACACAGCTAAAAATGGATTGAGTTTTAAGTGCCCCATCTTACTTTTTTAACCCTAACTTGTAGACATCCCTGAGTTTTGTAAATATTTGTGTGTATTGATTCATTGGTTTTTTTGTTTGGACAAGGACTTTGTATAGTTTTTGTCTTTGTGGCCTAAGGATGTTTAGCCTTTGACAAAGAAATCTTTATTTTGTTCACAATATAAAACAATATTACAGTTAATCCATGCCGGCTTACATATGAAGTTGTGTTTTGTGCACTGGTGTGATTTTTGTCTCTAGTGATTTTTGACTCTAGTCTTTTGTTTGTCATCTCCAGAATACACACCATGATAAAATAGGGGAATTTGAGGGGATGGCATGATGGGATGGAGATAGGAGATTTAGAGATGTGATAAATAAATCAATAAATGTAAAATAACGAGCTGCCTGGAATACCAATGACTAGTGTTCATGACATGGGAAGAATGTTTTCTACTCGCTTTTAATTGCACATCTGACTCATCTCTCATCCAACAGTGCATATATTAAAACACGAGTTGCTCCTGCCCAAAAATAATGATAAAATAGATATTTTTATCCATAAATGTATGAATCAGGGAAAATAATAGGTGAGCATGTAATAAATTAGGGGAAATGGCTTGTCACATGTGTAAATTAAGCAAAAATGCACAAAGTGTTGTTAATAATGGGGAGGAGGGGGTTCTTAACACCAACCAACGTAGGGTATAGAGAGCAAGATAAACTTAAGATGGAGACAACACAAAGAAGCCAAAATCGATCCATTCGCCTCTCTGTAACTTGGACAGCAGGATCTCAGTATAGCCATAAACAGCTTCATTTATTTTTATTCCAGGTTCTGAAAGGAGGACAGGAGGCCCCCACAAAGCCCAAAGGCCGCCCAAAGAAAAATTCCATTCCCACCTCAGAGGAAATCGAAGCGGAAGAAAAGTTGAGCAGCCAAACTCAGCCAGAGGTCTTGAAGGAAAGCCAAGCAGAGGAAGACTGTGGGTTGATCAAGGAGCAGTTGGGCTCCTCTTCAGAAACCGATGGATCTCCTAAACACATAGCAGAGGCATCTCCAGGGCTGACAACCTCAAGTTAAGAGCCATCTCAAAGCTTCCCCAGGGGACAGTGCATAAACTGGATTTCCCTGCACCTTGTGCCTTAAGAAATCAATCGGTGGGGTAGGTGACAGTTGGATGAGGAAATCCAATGTCAACCAGGATGATTTCTTGACTCCCAGGGTCAAGTATACACTTTCCCGACACATATCCTGGAATCTTTCTCCAAATAAACTGCATGCTTAGAGATTGGAGCTTCCGAAGCACCCAAGCGAGTCAACTCCTCATGCTTTCATGAGAAGAAGTGTTTTAAGGACTTCAGCATGCTGAATATCCTGGTTCTTTATCTTGCCATAATTGTTGTTGTTGTTATTATTATAATTGTTCAGAATGCTTTAAAATGGATTCTAAGCAGCAACTACCAAAGACAGAGAGAACAGGATTCCCACTGTTGTATTTTGTAAAAGTGCCAATGCAAAGCATTTTTCATGGGCCCTTCAAAACAAGGGGATGTCAGTGGTCTACCATTATGCTGGCCAGTGCGTGAGCCTGGTGGCAGTCAAGAGAAATATTAATGATGCTCTCAAATTGTGAGTCTCAGGTGAGCTCATTCCTTAAAAGATCATTTAAGCCACCAGGAAAGGGAGAACTGTCCTAGGAAGAGCTCCCTTGACAGCAAATATATTGATTTGGTCAACAAAGATCAGGGGCTGCTTTTAGAATACTCAGTAGGCTGAAGTTGCAATCTAGAACTATGGCTGATATGCATAGTTCCATTCTGGCTACTCTTTGTCTCCATTGCATTGTAAGTAAATTATATTGTTCCATGCAATACCAAAATCAACATCAGAGGTTGGAATTTTGAGGAGCATGTCAAGGCCCTAAGTGTTCTGGGGTTGATCAGTGGCAAGTCTGAATGGATACTGCCAACCCAACTTTGCTATTTACTCAACTTGCTTTTCTGAATAGAAAGGCAAAACAAGAGGCAGGTGACATAATAGCATTCTCCAATCCCCTTGTACTCTCTATCTAGATCAGGGGGGTCTTCAAACTTGGCCCTTTTATGACTTGTGGACTTCAACTCTCAGAATTCCTCAGCCAGTGTGCCTGGCTAAGGAATTCTGGGAGTTGAAGTCCACAAGTCATAAAAGGGCCAAGTTTGAAGACCCCTGATCTAGATTGTGGTCCAGGTTTGACTTAGTAGAGGAGGCTTGTGTGGTGGTATTGAAGACTGAAAAGGGATCCAGTTGGGCATAAGTGTGCCCTGAAAAGTTCTTGCACTAGAGTCTTCCGTAACTGGATCACTGCCAGGCTGACTCATTTCTTTTGGAGAACCCTTGAGTCAATGTGTACAGCAGAATGCCAGTGCATGCAGTTTAATGGTTTCTTTCATTAGAGAGAACATTACTGGATCTCTGCAGCAAATCTTCCCTTCAATCATCTGGAATACTGTATTACCCTGGAAATGAAGTGGAAATTAATAGGGGAGCAAGTTGGGCTCCAAGCAAAACACCAGCATATAGTATTTCCCCGAGGGTATCTGTGCAATGAACTGTTAAGAATTTAAGCTGCCATAATCAAAAGCCAGTTTACCCTTTATATGTTCAACTCTGGCCAGTTTATATTAAGGAGCAGCAACTAGGGTTTTCCTTTAGCCTCAGTTGCTCTCTTCTTTGTAAGTTTCTTCCATTTTTTTTAAAAAACGAAATCATCATTTTAAACAATGCATCAAAGGCATGCATCCAAATGGTATTTGAAAGCTTGTTTTAAAAATGTTATTTGCTCCTGCACACAATTTGTATTTTTTTAAACGTTTGTTCCCTCGAGGGAAGGGCTTGCAAATATTTTTTGATGTCTTTGTGCCAAGACTTGTATTAAAATTTTTGGTGAGGGCAGTAGCTTCAGAGTTATTTGAATTTTTAATCTATGTGCAAATGGCTGAAACAAAGATCAGGTCAGTTCCTTGGATCTGAAATTTGTCAATGTAGTTATTACTGGAAACAGCCCAATCTCACAAGGCTCTCTTTGCATAAGAATGAGGCAGTAATTGCTCACTTGTTGGAAAAATGTCATCACTAATTCAATTAACTATATTTTTCTAAGTAATGAGATCCAGCAAATAGATATGCTATTGTGATGCAATCCAGTTTTTAAAGAAAATATACCTGTGAACCAGACTGGGGATTCTTGGGACTGACAGAAGAATCAAGAGAGCAGGCACAACTGTCTGATAGCTGCCCTTATTTTACCGGGTTGCCCATCTGGTGCAGATGAGGAAGGAGCAGGGCTTTGATCTAGTCATTGGGACTGCCATCTTGATGTTCCTGACCCCTTGGTGGATGGCCCTGGAGCCAACATTCAAACCGTAACAATATAGATCAGGGGTATCCAACCTTGGCAACTTTAAGACTTGTGGACTCCAACTCCCAGAATCCCCCATTTCAGATCAGCTCAGGGAGAGTCTTTGTGCCCATCTCTTTCCACTGGATTTGGAAAGTTCCATTTGTTGTTGTTGTTGTTGTTGTTGCCATTTCTCCTGTTTAGTAACGCTCTTCAGATGAGAAGGGCTGAACCATCCATCCTTGACATCAGCAGGAAAACAAGTCATGAACCTGGGAAGAAAGCTTTGCAGGAGAGGGATTGCCTTTTATTTTCCAGTCCTGTGTGCCAAAGTTTAGATAACTATCTTGTTTCCTACAGTCTTGTTAAAGGGTGCATATTTTGCCCAGATGCTGCAAAGAACTGTATCAAGATAACCTTTATTTTTTAATTAAAAATAAAATGTGTAAATAAAAGAGTCAATGGAATCTTCTCTCTCTCTCTCTCTCTCTCTCTCTCTCTCTCTCTCTCTCTCTCTCTCTCTCTCTCTCTCTCTCTCTCTCTCTTGTATGTTACTTTGATATGTGGTGATGGCTATCAACTTAATTAGCTTTTTAAAAAAAGGGGGGGTTGGACCATTTGCTGGAAGTCCTGGGGATCAGTGGCTATTGGCTTTGATGGCAGTGGACTGCCTCTGAAGGTTAAGACTCATGGGCTTCCTCGTACAGTTGGTTAGCACTATAAGAACAAACTGGTAGACTAGATAGGCCAGCAATCTCATTCAGCAAAGCACTGCTTGTGTTCATATGTACTTATGTCCCTTCCAGTCCTATGAGTCTATGACCTATAGCTATAGTGAGACTGAAGATAACTAATAGCCTGCATTCCCATGTACTTGAAAAGAGTATTACAGCTTGCCAGATAACTCCAAACAATGATGATGGTATCAGATAAAGCAGGGGTCTTCAAACTTGGCCCTTTTATGACTTGTGGACTTCAACTCCCAGAATTCCTCAGCCAGTGTGCCTGGCTAAGGAATTCTGGGAGTTGAAGTCTACAAGTCATAGAAGGGCCAAGTTAGAAGACCCCTGAGATAAATTCTTGGATAGCATAGAGTTGCACAAAGTATATGTCAGCTTGGAGAAGAATCTTAGAATGTGTCTTTACTAGAAGACACATCTGCATGAAAGGTCATAATCATGGATCATATAGATATTAAGACAGCAATTTTATATCAATCAACCTAGAAGGAATCTCCATGGAATTAAGTGGGGGCTATCTTTAAGTCATCTTATATACAATATAGGACTGCAGGGAAGACTTATCCTTGTAGCCATTTGCTGTCATCTTGTCATTTCTAATCTGGTCTTCTCAGTGCTAAAATTGCTGCCTCTGGGTTGGTTCTTTATGAAACAACTTTTCAGTTAAATTGTTAATGATTATTCTTTTCTCAGTTATTGTATATTACTAAAGGAAGCTTAGAACTTCTCCTGTAACTCTGATATTAATCACTGGTTCAGGTCCCTCTTCTCTCCAAATCATCTCAAAATGGAAAGAGTTTGGCAGGTGTAGCCCTGGCCCCATAATTCTCATTTACCTCTTGGGAAAAAAATTAACATCTCTATCATTGCTATCATCTGATAATTGATAATCCACATTCTCGTTGACTGTTCTGACAAACATATCTTCACGATGGGAAAAATGTGCACATTATGTGCCTTTGCATGGGTGTGGGTGAACGGGTGTGTGTGTGTGTGTGTGTGTGTGTGTATTTGGCTGCAAACCTTCTTTTTTAAAAAAAAAAATTAATCATCCCATCTGAGGCAGAAGAAGTTGAGCCTGTGAGTTTGATGGTTTTGAATTAACTCTCAGTCACAACCCAGTATGCAAACTATTCACCACTTAACTGAATGACAGAAGTAATTATATTTTTGTTCCATAGCACTTGGGGTGAATTCAGGCTTGCCTTGGCTGATGAAATCTGTCAATTGTGCCAAAAGAGAAAGGTGTGCTCTTTGGAGGCTGGCAGACAAACAAGATGAGCTAACCCCTCCATCTGTTCTAACATGTCCATTATCTGGTGGAAACACTGAGGCTATTGTTTCCAAGAACAGTCTCGGAGAAGAGAAGGAGGCCCCAACGTTCCTTGGTAGGCATTTGTTCGTTCCTCCCAGGCTCCAGGGGGCATTACGGTAGTCTCACCTCCTTTGCCAGTTTTTGTAAAACAACCCATTAGGAAAAGACATTCCATCACAGGGAATGTTTCAAGGGCAAACCGGTAGCATGTATGCATGTATTTGCATAATTCCAAAGAAAACAATCCCTAGCAGACAAAACAGAATGGATCTGAATGTATTTTGGGTCTGCTTATTGCCTTAACACACCAGTGAACAACTTCATGGTGACTTCGTAATGTAGGGGGTGGTAGGCTAATGGCTTCAATGGCTACAAGGCAAAAGTAGGTGGAGCTCACACTCAAATTGCAAGCCTGGGTTAGGCTTGATTGAGAAGCTGAAGTAGAATTAATTTGAGAATGATATGTGCGATGGTGGATTCATCCATCCATCCATCCACCATCCATCCACCATCCATCCATCCATCCATCCATCCATCCATCCATCCATCCAAAGCTATGATAGGACAAGACTAAATGATATAAAGAGCCCTAAAACCTCTTTAAATGCCAACACACACACACACACACACACACACACAAATTTGACATCCAACCTTTTTAAACATCTGTTGTTTTAGACATGAAATAATATTTTCTGATGGGTTTTATCTTCACCCTTTAAATCAGGGGTTCCCAACCAGGGGTGCGAAAACTTGGGTTTTCAAAATTATAGTGTATATGCATAATTCGTTGCCGTTATTTCAAACTTTTGTAAGGGGTACGAGAATATATTAGAAGCGTTTTAGGGGTACAGGGTGTAGAAAAGGTTGGGAACCACTGATTTAAA